AAGGGATTTGTACAGGTAAAAGTATCCCGATGCGGAGACGTGAAGACCATCCTCCTCAAAAAACGAAATGTTGGGCCTCTTCAGTCGCGTGTGACTCCAAAAGCGTACACCCTCTTCATGCATTAAAGCGTCTCTGACAATTGTATTAGTTTTCTTGACGGCTTCCATAACCTTGTCATTCGTCCCGGGAGTTAGTCCCGGAAGGATTTCTCCAACGATGACATGACTTACACCGCATGCCTTGACTCTCTTGGCCAGGTGAAGGAGGACCTGAGCCAGGTCTTCAGGTGCCAGAGTTTTCCTCTTGGAGCTCTTTTGCCGTGGTGGCAGGAGATCATTCACTCCCAAGTGAATATAGACAATGTCAGCTTTAGTTCTTCGTATGATGTCGAAGTGTCAACCCTCTGACACCATACAAGGTAACTTTTGCCCAGCGAAGACAGAATTGAGGTTGCATATGTCGTCTAAATTCACCTGGGGCTTGCAAATGGTCATCCCCTAACTGCCTGATGTGAGAGTCTCCTAAGATGAGAATGCTCGGTCCATCTTGCTTTCCAGACATGGTTAGAGTGATGGATAATTTACGGAAGACACTTGCTTTTTAAATATTCAGCACACTTGGTTCCAAACACCATTGGCACCATTGGGCCTCTTCAGTCGCGTGTGACTCCAAAAGCGTACACCCTCTTCATGCATTAAAGCGTCTCTAACAATTGTATTAGTTTTCTTGACCTCTTCCATAACCTTGTCATTCCTCCCGGGAGATAGTCCCGGAAGGATTTCTCCAACAATGACATGACTCTCTTGGCCAGGTGAAGGAGGACCCGAGTCAGGTCTTCAGGTGCCAGAGTTTTCCTCTTGGAGCTCTTTCGCCGTGTTGGCAGGAGATCATTCACCCCCAAGTGAATATAGACAATGTCAGCTTTAGTTCTTCATATGATGTCGAAGTGTCGACCCTCTGACACCATACAAGGTAACTTTTGCCGTGACAGAATTGAGGATGCATATGTCGTCTAAATACACCTGTGGCTCGCAAATGGTCGTCCCGCAACTGCCTGATGTGAGAGTCTCCTAAGATGAGAATGCTCGGTCCATCTTGCTTTCCAGACATGGTTAGAGTGATGGATAATCTACGGAGGACACTTGCCTTTTATATATTCAGCACACTTGGCTCCAAACGTCATTGGCTCGTGACCGGGGAACCGAGGTTATGACTACTGTTCTTCCTGTGCCCCTCAAATATGTGGTGTCAAAAAAGTCCAAAAAGCTTGCTATTTCAATGTCTTTATCGCTTTCTAGTACCACAGTCCGTGTCCCTGTGTATTTATAAGTCTTTTTGTTTTATATCACTCTAAACCTTACAATAACAACTTCAAAAACATCAGAAAATAGACACAGACGAGACACAGATATCCTACTCGACCTCTGACCTTGACCTTCAACGGACTAAACACCGACACATCCTGTGATTTTCTTTCCTCCACCATCTTCCCTTTTCAGGTAATCTTTTTGTGACTTGAAATATGTCATACATGCACCTAGAATTGAGAATGGGTTTTGGTTAGTAGGGAAAAGTAGTCGATATGTTCTCTTTAACCCGGCCATTGGCATCCCACTCTGTGCTCTTCTATCTGGAAACAGTTCCTTTTGTCTATGCCCAACTTGTCCTGTTTTCCATTTTCCAGTCTTGATTGATCTTTTAACCATTCAATGTGTTTCTGTATGTGTCATATGAAATGAGATTTTTTGGCTTACCAAATGAAACGGTAAACATGCCTTTATAGAAGTCTCGTCCTCATGAGACTTATTACGCTTGGGAGCGAAGTTGGCCAGCCCCCACTTGTTACTGTTGCGTTTTTCCTCAAGCATAGTTTAGTCCACCATTTTCAACGGCAACTTTTCTTTTACTTGTTGGTGCTGCCTCGTGTCTCTTGCGTTGGTTTTTGAAATAATCTCTAATTCTTTTTTTCCACAAAATCTATAAATAATAGGCAAAGTTGCTGGAATTCAAACCAGTATACGTGCAAGGAAACAAGACATTAAAGATATACTCAAGTCAAAAAAAGGGTGCCAAAACTTAGAAAATGAATTTTCCTCCAGTAAATTGCAATTGTAGATATTGTAGTATTACGGCTTTCATTCTGGATTTTTGTATTAGATAACACTGTAATAGAAGTGTGTTTTATTTATACTGTAATAATACTACTTGGTGTCAAGGCATACAGTCTAGCACTTTCTGTCCAAGTATATTTTAAAACGTTTGACGGCAGTAGCGTCAACCCAAAGTTTGTGCAAGCACATCATGTTGCATGACATGGCAATGTAACGTACAAAGCAATGTTTAATACTGTAATTTATCTTCTATTAGACGATTTTTACTACTTTTGTTTAACAAAATCTGATAACTTGTCTACTAAGGCGTCAGTTTTAATATTTTCAAGTGTTTTTAGCCTGTCATTCAATATTGTATTTTATAACATTTAGTGGTTTAAGTGTACTATTTTTTTTATGAGAAATAAACGTGAATAAGAAAACTGAACGTTGTTTGAAGTCTGTGAATATACATAACTTAATGAAAACTTGGTTTAGTAATGCATACCCCGAGTTTCAGAGCATTGCAATTGCTCTCTCCCCAGGTTATTGATAACGGCAGTCGTGTGCTGAACATGGAAGGCCATCGGGTGTTCTGTGAAACCCCGGGTACCAGTCGTTGCACAGAAAAGTGGACATTTGAGTTTTGTCAGTGACGCACACATACCGGGTTTAGTTTCCACAACTATTTTATGTAACTTTTTAATTACATTTAACATTTTTTGGTATTGGTAGGTACTATGATATAGAGAAGAAAATGGTAGAGAAAGCCAGAATTACGAAAAAAAATTGCAAAAAATTTATACGTAATTTGAAATGACTGAAATTTCACTTTTCCTAAGAAGGCCCGCACCACTGTGCAAACTTTATGCCAACCGCGTTTCCATGGCATGGGTTAAGTTATATGGAAAATTGTATGCACTGTGATTGTCACCCCCACCCCCCTTTTTTCTACGGCGAAACAGCGGGTCCCGTCCCAATTCTCTTGATAAAAAAAGATGCATTGAGAAAAATACGGGAAAATATAGGAGTATTTCAGTTAAGAATAAGTCTGCAGTAAACCATTAGAAGGGAAGTGCTATTGGCTGCATTTACGAAAAGTGTGGCAGTAGCGGATTCAGGGGGAGGGGGGGTCCTGACCCCCCCCCCCCCTTCGATTTCTGAAAAAATCACACCAATGGTCCTCTCTTGAAATTAGAATTTAGACTAGCTGAATCTTAGTTCTAAACCGTACCTAAGGCACTGTTCGCCCTCTAAAATACCATATTTTTAGGGGCCATTCAGCGGGCCCCGACCCCTACACCAAAAGGGGGAGGGAAGGGTCGGCTTCGCATCCGCGGACCCCCCCTCTTCAAATAATCCTGGACACGTCCCTGGTGCAGTATCTCATCTGAGTGAAGTACAACCGATTTACTGGGAAATTTAAGGGTGCATTCCCAGAGATTTAGATCGATCCAGAGATTAAGATTTAGATCGACCTAACTCCCTGGGGGTTCACGCTAAACTGCAGTCAGCCGAGCGCGCACCATAGTTAATTACCCCCTTACAGCTTTTAGTAGGCGGGACAGACGCTTAAGCCGGCTAAGCTGACAGTAATCTAGTGAGACTCCCCACAGGAATAGATCGATCTAAAATCTATGGGAATGGGGTCTAAGGCTGAGCGAATAAATTTCAGACCCAAATTCTGACGAAAGTTACCCTGTGAAATCAGTCCCCAGTCTATCATCTGTCATATCTGCCTTGTCTCCACCAGCGTGGGAATCGATCAGCCGGACGACTGATTACGAAGCCAAGATAGCAGCAGCGGGGCTATTTCAATATATTTAGGAGTGTTCACGTAAAACGCGACAAAACCAGTCCACGTCCATTCTAAATGACGAGAATGCAGACGGACGGTACCAGTACAGCGGTGGTCCATCTGTTTTGCTCAGCAGTACTAACAACAAATCTCTCATCATTCAAACAGACCACTGCTGCACTGGCGTATTTTAGATATATATGGAGTTGATGCAACTGGTAAATATTCGTATGTGAACACACCATATGTAAAATAAAACAGATATGTAGACGTGTGTTTGAACTGTTTTGGCAACGTCCAACAACACGCTCGTCTCGTCCGATAAGGGTGATATTCGTGACTGCATTAGACTACAAGGCCACCGCTTAAGGAAGTTCAATTTGAGGAAATGGACCCTGTCTTTAAAACAGATGGTCAGTGTTTTTTCAAAATAATGATTCATTTTGAGGAAATGGGGACCCGGTTTCTAAAACAGGTGATCGGTGTTATTTCATCATAATGATAACTCAACAAAGTATATTGATTAATAAATGAGTAAATAATGAATGGAGACATATTATACGTCTCTTCTAAAAACATATAACGTACCAATTGTTTTTATACACTAAAATAAAGAGAACTGCAGTCAAATCAGGCTGCTTTTTCCCTAACCACCCTTTCCATGCGAACAATGCATATCATCCGAGAAAACATGAAAAAGACTGACGGCAGCTTAACGCCGAACGAGACTTGAATAAAATAAGAGTGAGAATTAATACGCGCGAAATGGAGATGGGCCTTCAGACGATTAGGGAGAAATATATGCGCTGGGGTCATTACTTTTCAAACAGTTAAAACTGACGAATGTTGAACTCGTTCCGTTTTAAAAAAGGCATTATACAGAAGTTAAAAAAAGAACAACTAGAAATTATCAGTGGATGAATTGTTTAGCTTTATTTGGCGCTGCACTGCAGTAGCTTGTCTGACATCACTTCTGACCCCATTCTCCTACAAATCCCGCTAAAACTCGCATCATTTTGCGTCAATCGCGAGACTTTGGCGTATCTCGGTTGATGCCCATGCTCAATAAAAACCCTCTCCGCTACTGGGGACCTCCATTGTAAGCCCCAAGTCTGTTTGTCACGACGCTAAGGGCACACGTTACATCAGTGTTACCAATACAGATAGTCAGGATGGCGTTGAACCGGTACACCGCCTTGGTTGTGGCGATATGTAAGTGTTATTTTTATTAATAATTTGATTAGACAAGAAAGTTTTCCAACCTAACGCGCTGTTAACGGGAAGATCTATTGTTCAACATATCTGATGTAATAGTATAGGATGCCACAAAACGATAAAAAACGATCTTAAAAATGCCTTGCATGCGCACAGTTGTAGGAATTCTCTACTTGGTGAAAGTATAGTCTCGATTTGGGGGACAAATTTTGTCTATAATGGTAACCTTTGCTAAGTGCCACTAAAATATCGCAGAGACTGGCGTATTACTGGTAGCTGAAAATCAATGGAAATTTTACAATTTTACACAGTGCGAATTTCACGAACTTTCAATATTTAGTATAGAAAAAAAAAAAAAAAACAACTGCAGTGACAAAGTTAGTAACTACAGCCAATTAGGGACTACTTCATTGAGAGAAGTAATAGCTATTGAGCACAATAGCAAATAGATGCTTTTATTAGTTTGGCTATAACATTGGCCGGCTCTTTTAGAGCAAAGCCGATGGCGTCTGGAGGCAGAAAGATTCGTACCTGGTGCATATATTTTTTCAGCCTGGGTAGATAATGGAAATTATAATAAAAAATTAAAAATAATAATAAAATATTATAATAAAAAAACACATTAAATTGTAATGTTTAAGTGTTGTTTACTTTCACTTGGATCATTGTGAATATATTTGATATGCACCCAGTGGGCAAAATATTATCAAATGAATTGTTCTCCATAGGGTGCTCAGTCGAAGTTTACGCAGACCCGTGCAAAAGTTACATGACTCTGCAAGACCCTGAACGGAGTACCAATTACCATCCGGGGCCTTTGGACCCCTTACTCTGTGACCGGACATTGAAAACAGGATGGTACCGGATGATTGATGCAAACGGAACCCCACTGCGCATGCCTGAGAAGTGCCCGGATCATTTTAGTTGCGGCACCCATGTTCCAGTGTGGTTCAAAGGTCAGGTGTATTTTAAGAAAGTGATAATGCGATTTGAGCCAACATCTTAAAATAAAATCAACTGATTTTTGTTTCATTATTATGTTTTTGAACATATCGACAAAAATATCCTCGGGTTGTACGACATGCTGATAAGAAATATGATAGGGCATCGGTCTTGGACAGCAGAAAATAAGATAACATTATTTTCTTCTATTATTTTACTGTTAAGAGCTTCGACAGTGTCCAAATTTTGATGGATATTTTACGTAGTAATTTTAGGCGAATAAATTATAATTATTATCATAAACGATTATAAGAAGATAAGGAAATATAAATATGTAAAAAATTGTCTTTTTTTTCATCAATTCAGGGCGGCATCCGACCGTTGCCGATGGAGTAGTATCAGCCGAGGCGTGCGGTAATGTTCCAGTGCCAGACCAAAACCAGAAATGCTGTCTCTTCAAGATACCAATAGCTGTGAAGAACTGTGGCTCGTTCTACGTTTACAATCTAACATCAACTGCTTCTTGTTCTGTAGCGTACTGCACAGGTGATTGTTTTAATATTGTTTTTTACATGCTATGTTTATTTAGGATATCTCCTCTCTCTCTCTCTCTCTCTCTCTCTCTCTCTCTCATCGTACCAACTGGATCGAGGCAACTCTCGCTAAAGTGCATTTAGTGTACTCAGCTTAATTGCCCGAAACGCCTTCTTGAGTAGCTAGTTAATTATTAATTATCCCCTAGCAACTCGAGGAGGCGTGTCAGGCATTTAAGCCGATTAAAGTGATTGCACTTAGGCAGAATCTCCCGCTGAGTTGGATCGATCCAACTAGTACGAAGGGTTTATCTGAACGCTCCCATAGACCACCACTGCCCTCTACCTAGGGCCACGAATTGACTTTTCACTAGATATTCAGTGATGTGTGTGTCCCTCGCGGCCCTGAAAGAGGGTAAACACCACTTAATGAAGATATGCCACTTGATAATCGCTTCACCGGTCATTATCCTTAAAGTTTGCTGTATAGACAACCATGATACCCATGGTTTATCGGAGGATTAACTGATATCCGAGCACGGCGAACTTATCTTTCATGACGTTCAGTGGTTGTATGTAGTTCATGTTGTACAGTACACTCGACCAAAAAAGTTCGGAAACATCGTTATTTTGAATAATTTGAAAACAACCACATGAACAGAGGTAAAATATTTAACCAAATATTGATGGATAATGCACCAACCGTTCGTTACTTTTTAATATACTCTGAAGTTTTCCCACTACATTACACAGTTTTTTTTAATTATTGAAAAACAATTTCACGTTTCTAAACTTTGTGGTCGAGTGTATATAACCCGGTTTCCAGTTATTTTAGAAAGAGAGAAAGACCATGTAAGGCTGCATTCAGAACAGGGGACTAACTAGTCAGCGGGTCAAATATGGCCGACCAACTTAAATACTTCCCCGTGGAGAATCTACTCAGTGTCTATTAGCAGATTAGACGGAAAGAATTTTAGTGGGTCGCCATATTTGATCCGCGGACTAGTTAGTCCACTGTTCGAAATGCAGCCTAAGAAGGATGTCTCTTTATAATGAACTCAACACAATTCCGAATCTGTAGTGAATCCTGTTGAATATTTTAACCTTTCCCTTTTAGATGACAGTCAAGGTTGTCCAGTGGGTATGTACTCGCCTACAGGAAAGCCACCTTGTCAACGTACGTATATTGCTCTGTATTTGAACACATCATTAATGCCCTGTCGCTTTATTTATGCCCTGCTCTAGTTTTTACGCCCTGACCCCCAATTTTGCCCTGCTTAATTAATCGTTTAAGAACTATGAAATTTACTATGAAATTTTTACTTTAAAATTTAGTTTAAGCCAGTATTGAATCTTTTTACACAGTTTATGGACATCTAAGAATGATGTGTAATTGTATACACATGAATATATATATCGAGAATATGTCTTCGTTTTTTTATTTATAAAATCAATTGTTCCACTATTATCCGTTTCTTATTTCGACAGCTGCCTATCCCTCTCTTAAAACTGCTCCCACGCTCAGCGGCCCGGAGATCGTGAAGAATGCCCAGGGAGTGGAGGAATTCCGCTTTGGATGCAACATACCTTACACAACCACTGACAAAAATGTAGGATTCGAGATTGAGTGGTGCGTATTACGTGCGCGTGTCACGTGAACATAGAATAGACTATTTGACGTCACAAGAGAATGTGACTTTTGAAGTTAGACTCAGTGCTGGCATTATTTTGTCTTTTGCCCTATGCTTAGTTTGTGCCTTAAAGTTATATAAACAAATGTCATTGCTTCATATGGTTTCGTTAACTATATCTGGTTTAAATATATAACTATATATATATATATAACTATACTGGTTTAAAATTTAACAAAAACGCCGTTGGGTCTAAATAAATCCTCAGGTTATTTGACCACAAGCCGTCTCCCGTGTCCCCTATGTCCAGACCCCAGCAGGTGACCGGCACCACTCGTGTCCACTACATGAAGGACATCGATATGATACCCGGCAAAGATCATTTGAACAAGGACGTAAGTGTCCACGATGTCGCGACTTTTTTTGAAAACACCTCATAGTGAAAAGTTATGAATTATATTGGATTACATTGAATTAAATGGATTATATTGGTGAGTTGGTTATCACTGTAGTAATAAAACACCCTCACAACACATGTCGAAACAAATGAGTAAAATAAACAAAAAAAAAAAACTACTTACGTCCTACAAACACACGCATAAAATAAAATAAACAAAGAAATATAGGCCTACATTTGTAAATACGTTAGACTGTCCATATGTTGCATTACAGGTGAGCTGTCGAGTGAAGACGTACTTCCTGAATGCTCCAAACCGTAAGAGTCCTGCCATAGAGAGCAACCACTACTTTGCTGGCATAAAGGTAAGGTATGGGTGTGGTATCCCAAATACAAACAAACACACTCACACACACCAGGCCCGTAGCCAGCAATTTCAAAAGGGGGGGTTCTTTTTTCTGAAAAAGTGGACCTTTTTCCATAAAAACTTCATGTACCTAGATCAAATTTTACCCAGAGTGGACCTTTCCCCAGCTGCAAAAGGGGTTGTTCTTTCGAACCCCCAGAACCCCCCCTGGCTACGGGCCTACACACACACACACACACACACACACACACACACACACACACACAGAGAGAAAGGGGGGAACGTGTGTGTGACTATTGGGTGTGTCTCTGTTCGACTCCATTATATAACAGTTGCTGTCTTTTGAAATGGAGCAACTGTCGGCAAATACAAGTAATCCTTTTGCAGTTATATTTTTGCACCATATATTCATTTTCTGTTGTTTTCTGTGGCACACTGAAGACTGAGGAAAGTAAGCAAATGCGATCTTACTATGGTAAAGAATTAAGTACCCTAAAACGTAGTTTCCGGGTAAAACAGATGTGTCTCGTGGGGAAGGAAAAGAAGGACAATCGATACCTTTATTTCCCCCAGATCTTTTTTTCTCCATCACAGGCGGCGTAGATATTTTTCAGTTTTACCATTATGAGCCTGTAGTCATAAATACATGTAAAGCATCCTTACAATTCGGGCTCCTCGGTTGCATGTAGGGCTCAAAAAGTGGTTTACCACACGTCGCAATGGAATTTCTTGATTTTGATTTGCAGAACATAATCACGAGTGAAATACATTGTTGTCTGACTACATTACTTATTCTTTTTCAGACGGATCCATCCAAAGTTCAGGTGAACGAAGGGAGAAAAGAAGTAGAAGTAAAACTGATTTCAACGATTCCCATTCTTTGTAAAGTCCCCAATGCCCACCCCGACAAGTGCCTCGCTGACTTCAATCTGGATTTAGGGAAAGGTACTGATTTTGTCGCACCTTTGAAACAATGGGCAACCCTTGGCTGACTCGATCTGCAAGCTCCATACAAACCTCGGATGTGATAGATGTAGTAATATCCATCAAATCGATACATTTCTGCGCCGGAACTGCCTTTTCACTCAACCAGGGCCTATACACAGAGAAACATGTTCATGAAACATGATCCTAAACTGCGACTAGTCTTCCCAATGGGCATGGGACTGAAAGAAGTTCCTTGCCCACATTCAAAGCGTTATTGATGCCATCGCATCACGTCCGAGGTTATTGTCGAGTGCGGAGACATCCGAGTAGTTCCTTGTGCCTTTGAAATACACACATTAAGATGCACAAACAAACACACATACACAGACGTCCTTTGTTCAGTGAATTAAGGCTCTAACCACCCATAATGATTGATTCAACCATCTTAAAGCAAAGTAACGATCAAGCGACCTGAATCAAAGCCAGCTTACATTTGTATATTTATTGAACAACAGGCAAATATAAAACAGTGTGCGATGTGTTAATTTCCTGTATATAAAATATAATATATATACCGATACCAAATGTTAATGGTCACCCAAAACCCATTTATATAGTTTATTTTACTTTGGAATAATATATTTCATCAGTCTCATACATATACATAGCAGATCCGATCTCTTGCTGAATACTTCTAGCCTTTTTACAAAGGCCCCCTCCTCATATTCAGCTAACCTAGTTGTCGCTGAGAAATGCGCTCTTTTGTATTTCAAATAGAATGTATACCGATACCAAATGCTAATAACTGTCTATAACCCAAAACATAACGGTCCCCTCCGAACGAAGTGGTCGCTGAGAAATGCGCTTTTTTGTATTTTAAATATAATGTATACCGGTATCAAATGCTAAAAACCATCCACAACGATCCTCTTTTCATAATTCAGATAACGAAGTAGTCGCCGAGGAATGCTCTCTACAGATGAAACGATCCCACTGGGATCCCAAAACCAAGCAGGCCGCGGTGTCCACCAAGCTACTGGCAGTCAGGGACTTCGTCACCGACGGCACCAAGCAGGTGTCTGCCGTATTCAAGAAAATCTCCCCCATCCATACCCCCCTGTTTCACCAGTACCAGCCACCCAGTATCCAGGTGAGGGGCGTGGCTTCTGTTTCTTTTCTTGACGTCACCAATCAAACTGAACGGGAAATTACGTAAGTGATGTCACATTTAAAAAAGTAGGACAGGGAAGCGCCCAAAACCGTGCAACAAACATCACTAGACAGCTAGTTATATGAACCATAGGGACCCTCGCATTGCCTTAGAACTTTGAATCCAATTCTACGCTGTCAGGTCTTCTGTTTCAGGTCGACAGTTACAGTTGTTTTTCCTTGTAAACTGAGAATATATCCCACGTAACAAAACCTAGTTTGTTGACTTGTCGAGGTATGAACTGAAGTTTTTGCCTCTCTCTTACCGCTCAGATCACAAGCATCAACACGGACACTGACAGCTGCAAGTGCACTGGAGACCCTCACTGCACTGCCTTCGATAGAAAAAAGTAAGCTCGCTGAAAATAAGATTTTGCATAAAAGTAACGTTCGTGAAATGTTTTACCTGACATATGTTAATTAAATTATTCAAAATGCTAAGTATGCATTTAATTAGACAATGCGAAGTTTATGATTCTGACTGTACAATTACAGATACTGAACATGCTATTATTAAATTACCGGTGTGACAGAAAGGTAGTCCATGGAATAGAAGTCCGGGGTCTCATATGATCAGTTCAGGTTACGGTAAGTCGGAGTATTGAGGTTGAACGAATGTCACCTGTACACAGTAATGAAGAGCGGACTACGGTTCCTGGCGGACTATCTTTCCTGTCACACAGCGTTCTTGCTTTGGACTTCCCTTTGATGCACTGGTCCTCATATATGGCACCTTTCCATTTTAGATACTTCCATTTTTACGAGGCTGGCGAGTATGTTATGGCCAAAAGTAATGTGAGGCCCTTTGAGGTATGCTTTTTTTATTTATTCAATTCTTACTGATAATGGCAATATCTTTTATTATTATTATTTTATTATTTTCTACGTTGCTTTTAACCATAATGTCTTTCAATATCTTTATATGCCGTGCTGCTACTTGAGTTCATCGAGAAATATGAGTTACAATAATATAATATAATAGTAATGGTGCAGTGAATTAGTTACTTGAGTGCCGTATTGCATGAAGCACCGCATACCACTACGTACGGAAAATTTAAATAAAATGCGTGCACATTGTCAGTTATTTACGGTAATTCCGCCAGGGTGTTCTGGTAGTATCTTTGAACTGGGTTTAAATCAAGTCGATGTGTGGTGTTTTGGGTAATTTGTTCTTTTGCCTCTCCCTCGTTCCCCGATTCTCTCTCTTCTTATTCGCACTTTGTCTCTCTTTTCAAATTATTAATACACATCAGTTTAAGCAGTCTTCAGCTATTGTGTAAGAGGCAAATGTCCTTCCTGCTGCACTAATTTTTATTCAGACTGATTACTTTAAGACTAGTTGTATCAATATCCTTATATCAGTGACAGCGATATTCCTGTTATTAAGGTTCACGTACGAACGTGGTACTGTAACGGCCGTGCAAGCTGTATCTGCGGCTTGTCAGCAAGGGAGGGCAATGACGTCATAGTGGTTGACGCCTGCCACAGTGACGTTAATCACATGCGAGTGAAGACTTACGTCAAGTCCCCGTACCAGCTGGCTAATGGGACCCAGATAAAGCGTGACGTCGCCGGAAAAGTAATCGAGGTGCTAACTTAGCTATTTAATATTTTAATCGATGTCCTTTTTTGTCAACCGTGGTGTATTACTTTTGCACAAGGGCAGGTGTTTAAAGAGATAAAAACTTCCGCATATCTAATAAGCAGTGAATCAATGAAAAAGTACCAGTAAATAAATGAGAGAATATAATTATTAAATAAAAATCACCTTTTATTATATATTAGTGTTGCAAAAGTTGACAATGGATTTATTCGCCAAACCAGATATTCTTTCCGTCGGGGACCGCTATCAAGGTGGATGTGCAATCCAAATATCTGGACGCCACAATGACGGTACCCAGCGACGACTATGCTCACACCAGCGGTTTATGCGGCATTTTTAACAAATACTCCGGCGACGATTTCACCTCTCCTAACGGACTGACGTACTCACAGTACATCTCGGTGCCAAGACAGTTCACAGAAAGCTGGAGGTTCGATCATCTCCATTAAGAATATTTTAATCGACTAAAGCAGTAAGACAACAGCATTAATATATATATATATATATATATATATATATATTTATTTGCTGCCTTAAAGTCTCCGCTCCATCTTTTTTTTTCATTGAGTGCATTCAGAACCAATGCTCCACGAACTAAATATGACCTACCGAACCTAAAAGCAACGCCGCTTCATGCCGTGATGGTCTTCTCGTCTCCACAGGTGCCATTAAACAGATTAAATCTCAGCTCCGAGAATTGGTTTAGTCAGTAAGGGAACTGGTTTAGTCAGTAAGATAACTGGTTTAGTCAGTAAGAGAATTGATTTAGTCTGTAAGATAACTGGTTTAGTCAGTAAGAGAATTGATTTAGTCAGTAAGATAACTGGTTTAGTCAGTAAGAGAACTGGTTTAGTCAGTAAGAGAACTGGTTTAGTCAGTAAGAGAGTTGATTTAGTCAGTAAGTCCGCGGATCATCTGTTCTGAATGCGCTCATATACGTGTTTTATATTGACATGAATATGTTGCAAAACGTCAATATTTTGCTTGCTTCCAAGTTTCTTTTTCAATAATATGTGCACTGCAATGGAAATATGAAAATGATGAAGCCGGGTCTCCTCGTTTCTGAAACTCACTCAACTGGGCTCATTCATAGGTGTGTCTCATTCTTCAGAGTTCCACGAGGACAGAGCCTTTTCGACCGACTGCCTCCCAAAGACCCTGAACCTCCCAAGAAGCCTATGTACTGTCAGTGTAATAGGCAGGAGAAAAAAATTGACTGTGGCCCTGAGAAAAGACAGAACAATCCCATCAGACGCGTAAGTTGCTATTATACTTTTCTTGTCGAATCTGGTGCTAAACATTCATTTATGTTGCATTCATGCAAATATTTCCACATTTTCACCTTGCTATCAGTATGCGCCATTGAATGTTCCTCTGACAATAGAGATTTTAAGTCAACTCCCTAACTTAATACAGCTTTCCACCACAGTCGACCACAAAACCCTAATGTACGCACCAGCATAAACAAAGTTTCGAATGTGATATCCCGTAAGTAGATGTTGAATGTGATATCCCGTAAGTACTATGTTGCAACTCACGGCAGCAATGACAGCATGCATACCGGCCACATGTAGTGCAATGTTTGCAATCAGTAATTTAAGTCCAATATTTTATCAACATAACACACGAAAACCTCATTACCATGGTTAAAAATAATTCATTGGTTTACTTATACACGTACAGGCTAGCAGGACTATCGACATCACCAGTTCTTTGAACCGAGGATCGCGCCTGCGCAGAACCACCACGTTTATAGACACGGACACAGATGGTGACCTCCAGTACAACTTCGACTACGGAGACCCCAGTAGGTGACGATATTCAAAAAAAGATTGGCAGGAAATTTATGTTCTTTGACATTGTGAACGAATGAATGCTTTGTACAGACGCATTTGCATTCTATTTTGTATTGTTACTTTGAATGGTTTTCGTCAAGTATATGTGGTTTAATAATAATAATAATAATAATAATAATAATAATCGTAAAACTTGATAAAATGAATAGAAAACGATTAGAGACGTATGTTAAGATACTTCATGGTATATTACCACTTCATAGGATAAGAATTACTACTTCATGATAGAAGGCGACTTCATTGGTTAAAAAATAAGGACCCTTAGGAGACTTCGTAGTATATTACCACTTCATGGTACACTGTATCCAAACCATTATATTTCAAAAACGTTCTCTCTCATAGCGTTGGGCCAACAACAGGTACTATTTCACCATTATCCCATGAAGTCGCAGGCAATATCTTATGTGGAGATGAAGTCGCAATTTATCCCATGAAGTCGATTTGACAGTAAAATCAGAGCATTTATCCCATGAAGTGGTAATATACCATGAAGTATCTTAACAGACGTATGCATTTCTCATTTTCTCTTGATTACCCCAAGGCTTCTTGTCCGACCGTTTGGAGAAGATTTCTGACATAGGAATATAAAAAATAAGGTGATCATTTTGCTTAGAATCAAAGAAGGGTGAAATGCAATTTTATAAAAAACAAAACAAATGTTTAAATGTATTTTCTATTTGCTCTAGATTCCCCAACGCTCACCGCTACGTGGCCCACAAAGAGCGGTCTCACAGAAGCTGTCGCGCTGAAGATGTGTACAGACGCTGCTAAGTCGTCTAGCGCGTACACCCAATGCCTGGCCACAGGGAAAATAGACGTCAACGAAATCGTAGGAGGATGCGTGGACGACATGAAGGTAGTCATTATTCATTAAAGTTCAAACTTATTAACACGTATTATCATGCCGAACTTTAGTCAAGGTTTCGGTTTATTCACGAGGCCTGGATTATCACACTAGGTGTCACTGCGAACACTAGCTAGAAAACTGAAAGATTAATATGATAATATTACCAGTATATCAATAATTTGAAAATAACGTCAGATTCATATGCGTAAAAGTATTTTCTCGATATACTAAAATTAGATGAGATAAAGATTTATCTAGCAATAGATATATAAAATATACAATACCAGTAGTAGATTGCCATATAAAAGCTTCATTGTGTTTAAATTTTAAAAGGAGTATAAGAATAAAGTTGGTCTGAGACATTTAATTAAAAAGTGATGCAGCTGAAGGATTTAAAATATAGAAGCCTTGTGTTGCTAGAGTGCTGTACACTTGGGAGTCATATAAATATGCAGGTTACCGGCACGTTCGAAACGGTCAAACTGATATATTTTTCAGATATCTGATGGAGACACGGAGTTTCTGTCCTCTGTTGTCTCTGCCTTCGAAAACACGTGCCAGGAAAAGGTGCTCAAGGACCCAAATTCTTATACCAAAAACGCCACAGACGGTAGCGTTTCGTTTCGTTTGATTATATTTCTATCGCATTTTAATATTCTTGGTAATGTCTCTCGCTTTTATCAGCACTTTTCCTTTATTTATTGATCGTATATGCCTTTACAATATTTTACATTATCGAAACGAACATAGTGAAAACCAGTGTAAGATGGCAACAAGGCATCACGTAAGGTTATGCCATTACAAGGTCTTCAGATAAAATACCTCATCAATGCAGTTTTGAATATCGTTTTCATTTGTTTTTATCAGATTTAGGTTCTCTAATATTGTCACGAAAAAATAAGCGATGGGTATTTGCACACCGAGAACAATAATAAAAGCAACCTTGCACGTGTATTTCATGTCTTACGAGAACTTTCCTGTAACGCCATGTTGCAGAGCACTATGTACATTTAAGTCATTCAACGTGCACACTGCTATGTATACTAGCAGATATAAACACGTAAAAACAGCGTATCTCACGTATACCCTGCTATTCCAGGAACACTGATAATGCCCGCCTTTGTGACTGCTGATTTGTGCACCACGCCTTGTCAGCACGGCAGGTGCTCTAACGGCGCATGCGTGTGCAACAATAACTGGGTCGGTGAGGACTGTTCTGTTGACGCGACCAAACCACCACAAGCGTTAGGTTTAACCAGGTAAAATATTAACCTGCTGGATTTCTTTTTAAAGTCCTCAAATATAAATTAACAGGGCAATATCATTAGCAATGGGTGATTGGAAGAGTGTCGATTTCAATTTGTGTACCATTGATATTCTGGAAGCGTTTGTAGTAAACTGTCGTTTGCAAAGCTAGATTTCGCTTGCTGCTCTCACACTTGTCCAGAAATTTCACGTGACTAAATGTAAAACAATGAAGCGGCGTTGTAACCCCATGGCCAGAATGCGTTGTGTTGCTACGGTATAATTATAGAAGACTTATTTCTCTGACTTTGGGAATTATTGCATCATTATCTCTATCCCCAGACCTGAAGCATGTGATATAAGGAAGCGCCCTTGTCGCCTGACGTTCCTGGATATAGAAAACATTGCTGATACGTCCAAGTTAAAATGTCGCCTTAAAGATCTCACGGTATTTTAAAGTTTCATTTTTTTCTTTGCTTACTTTATATTTGTTCATTGTACGTGTGTTAATACTTTTGATAACCGAAAACAAGTGTCTTAGAAACACACGCAGATGACATTGTACAGCAGAAATATTTTCAAATAACTAGAATTAACTGTTAAGAGACTTAATTCTGATAAGCATGTGATCTTACATTTTCAAATCAGATCAAAATAAGTCTGCGTCTAGATTGAATTTAATGAAACTTAAACCACTAGAGGTTTATTGGCAAAATTACGTATCGCAGATTGTGAACGGAAAAGTGAACACTATCGGAGGAAACGTAGCGTACTCCAAGGCAGACTTCCAGAACTATGCCGAGGTCTCCTGTGAGATCCCAGAGTCACCAGCACACAAAGGTATATTTTAAAAACAATCAGGACCAAAAGGTAGAGATTTTAACCATTTTAGAAAAACATCGGCTTTTGTCGTTGCGAACGATACAGTGGTTGAATATTAACTCCAACGTGACTAATCAGTTGGCATATCTTAGATGGCAAAATTTTCAATCCATTTCTGCACTTATATTATCACCACCTTTTGCAATATAATACAATAATACAATTGGCGCATTACCATTCTGTAATTGTTATTTGCACCAGTACGTAAATGAACATATATCTCTCTATATGACAATGAAGGTGAACTGTCTCTAGCTTACTCACTTCTCCATTTCCCTATTTCCAGGCACAGTGGCTAGCCACGCCTACCATGTGTCAGTCACGTTTGACAACAATCGCTGGAGCAATGACGTCATGTTTGTAATCTACGACTCCCTATGCCAGAATTGTACGGAGAAGGGAGTGTGCACGATCAATGTAATACACAGTTACATCCCATTCAATTACACAGTTATATTCAATGGAGGATATCCGTGCCTCTTTTATTTTAACTGACAATTGAATTCAATGTCATGCTTAAATTAATATACCGGGAAAAGAGCTGTATGTATTTTCATCAATTACATTTCCTAGTTAAAGAACTCAAATTTATTGAAAGCTATCATACATGGACTAAATATGACCCCATTCAGAATGGATGATCCGAGTGTTTACTGACCCGCCGACTTAATATGACCGACCACAGTTCAAAAGCGATGCCGCTGATTCCTGATGGCCTCCCCGCCTCCACACGGATTATAATTACTCGGGTCATCCAGTCTGTTGGGCCTATTATGCGTGATGTAAATGTGCCTTCGCGGGGGAGTAGTTTGTTCCCCGAATATCTTAGCAATGGTCATTGCAGGGACGCATTTCACTTATATCTCTTATTCATCGTAAATGAAGCATTAACCACTCAGATATAATTTAACATTTTAGGCAAACTCTTGTCACATCAACGGTAAATGTTACAGTGCTGGAGACCATGACCCGACTGACACAAACAATGTGTGCCTTCCGGCCATCAGCGCCACCAAGTGGACACAAGGTAAGGTAGTGGGCAGTTTGTGGGAGTCCCAAGGGTAAATGACATTCTCTCATTTATTTTGACCCTCGCATACCGTTTATTCTGTTTAACTGTAGGGGCCTATTCACCTACATACATTAACGTGGGGTTTGTGAATGATTTTTGTTACCTTGGTAACATAAGATTGACATTTGTCACGCGGCTGCTGTCGTGAATTAAAGATGGAATAGAACGCATAGGTCAAACTGAAAAATAATTAATGATAAACATACATTTACTTTTTCCTTTATCCACTGTATATTTTTAGCTAAACACAGACCACTCTCACATAGGTATTAACCATCGATGGTTGATCAGTTTCAGTACCCACCCAGCCACCCCCGAAAACTACGAATTCCACCACCACTCCCCGGCCTATCACCACCACCGCCCCCAAGGCCACGCCCTTCCCCCTCCACTGGGCCAAGTACGGGGGTGAAAATAAGATGAGATGGGACATCTGGACGAAGTGAGTACCGCGGGCATATAGGAGTATATAAAGTGTAATATGGTACTGCTGGTACCACACGGATTAAACACATACTGACAGAACCTGCTTCACTTCACTTTGGAGCAAGGACATTTGTTCGACTTACTCAAAAGTTGGAGTTAGCACTATGTTCATATAAGTTATAGTCAAGATCAAAGGAGGAAAATATGTTCCAAAAGATATGTACAAGATATTTGTAATTTTGCTTATTAGTTAGTTATAAACACGTATGGTATGTACGGACTGAGGAAGGGTAGGCGATTGAAAAAAAAAAAGCTGCAGATAATTGGGATTTAAGTCTCTCTCAAGATGACTAATAGAATATTAACACTCCGTGATTTTTCTCTTCATTAAAAAAGGGCTGAGACGGGCTGCAGTTGTTACTTTGACCAAAGTAAGAGAGACTGCGCGTGCTGTGAGCTGGGAGGATGCCAGTGTCCCACGAGTTCCAAGTATCACTGTGTTAAATGTGGGGAAGAATTCACCTGTGGAACAGGTATGAGACCTTCACAGGAAGCGTTTATTTATTTATTCATTATTTATTTTCCTACATGTACTTACTTAGTTACTTATGCATCTATATTATTTAATTTCTTAAGTTATGTCTGTTGCACTTTGCAGGCACTTTAAATTTGTTATGTATTGCAGGACCGCTGAACAAAATGATGATGGAGTATTAGAGTATTCGTAATCTCAATTTTGCCTAAATAGCAATAATAATTTTCAATATGGATAGGCCTACAAATCATATTATCATAACTGTATCACGTGCCATAATATTAAATCGGGGAAGGGGGTCAAATTAAATGACAAGTCAGAGCATTTGATTTCGTATTGGAAGGATAAGTTGTAAGTAATCATAAGACTTATTTTATACCCCATGCAGTTAAACCCTCTACCGACTACGGCATAGACGGTTGGACCGCCACATTCACCGGCTGCCCCTGCGTCTGGGACACCAAACGCGCTGACTGCGCCTGCTGCCAGAACCTAGGCTGCCCCTGCGGTAAGACACACCGCAACCAATGCACACAGTGTGGACATCCAGCTGCCTGCGGAACGAAGCCGGAGATATTCGGTCCTCCTCTCAACGACGCGATTATCGGTTGATAATGAACGATAGATGGCAGCAGAGGTCGGGTGCATGCCACCTCTGTGCTCCTGTGCGCATTAGTAACATTATTTTTTTTTGCTCTGTTGTTTTATTTAGTAATGAGTTGTGAAAGTAATATTACTGATGAAATTGCACAAAGGAAAGAACTTTACTTTGAGTATAAGTCAGCGTCTATAAATTCTAAATTTAGATTCTTCTCTGCCTTGAACTTGTTTCTCAATGATAGAGTTTTAAGGAGAAATGCTTTATTTTCTAAATGACAGAAAGTCCATAACTTTGGAAATAAAGGCAGTTTCATTAACAGTAGAGTTTTTGTGATATATAAGTGGTTAGATATTAAGTAATGATGAAGATGGAAGCTTTCTTTTCTAAATAAATATTTTTATTCCGTTGGTGCTCACGCAAAAGTACAGGTGATGCCAGATTTCGGTTGATTCAGAACAATAAAAGTTCCGATGTATCTTTCGAATCTTGCAGTTGTGAATCAGTAAACCAGTGTATATTGATTAAAATGTAAATTTACTGTAAAAAAGATTAATGAAGACATTCTGTTCACAATCAATATTTAAAAAAAAAAAACATTTTCGCCTTGATCTCGATCAAATATGCATGTGACTGATAGGTGACAGCAACATAGTCACATGCCAAGACAAACTATTTGAAATTGTCCTGAGAAACATGACTCTATTTCAAAACGACTAAAAACTTAAACAAATGAAACAAATTTTGCTGTGAAAATTATTTAAGGAAAAACTCTTCCTTTTTCCGATACTTAATCTGAAAATTCAAACACGTATATATCTAGACTAAAACAAAATCCTACACAAAAGTTAAGAAATTCATACGCATGTTGTCATGAATACACATATCATGGACCATAAAATGAGCACCACACTTTGAGCATCACATGGCAACTTTGTATCACAATTAGTCATTAGTCATGGACATGGCACATATTGACGTATACACTTACGCCTGTACTGTACAGGCCCCTTAGGCTGCACGGCATATATTTTCAACCCATCTGCAGCGGTATGTTTTGAGATAGACTGCTCCTCCCCGGAAAGCGTTCTACAGTTACAAAATCGCTTGAATGATCGTCTTGTAAATGCTAGAGGAGCCACAAAGACCTCTTAAAGAGAGGAGGACTTAACTCGCTTTGAACAGTTTACTTCCTATTGTTTGCGACATGAAGCATGCTTTTGGAAATTAATACGTACCAACCAAAATTAATCCTGTGGCGAGCTTATGGTTCAGCGTAGGTAGTATTGTAATATAGTAGGGCTGTTTTAACAACTATTCAAAAGCTGACACTTTCTCGAAACGTAGCGCTACAGAATGAAGGATACGATGCAACAAACAATGTGAAAAGTTATAATAGACATTTCTAACGACGCACACAACCTAAGATAGACAAATATCTGTGTAAAACTGATATACTATACATGTGAAAACAACACACTTGTGACAAAATATAGTCTGATATCCGGACGGAGTCAGTGTATAAAACATTTCTTAGAAAATACACTTCTATATATCTTATGTATATTCAGTGCAAGTTTAGTAATTTGTATAATACAAATGTATAAATATAAAGCTTTACATATATCTTAGCATGCAGCAGCAAAAGCTTCTTACAGTAAGATATGTACATCTGTTTTTACGGCACCGTCTTCCCGGGTATTTTTGTGTAATTTTTTTATACGCACGATTCATTTCCATGCGACCGGGTTCACAAAAGTGTTGGCCTTAGCTTTGTGACCGATAATTCGGTCAGTTGCAATTGAGAATTAATCACGATACGGATTATAAAACTTGATGGCCACATGGTAAATGATGAAAAATGTCAACCGACCATGTTCAGATCAAAATGAAATACACGTCAGTCATATTCCAAATACTAAACAGATAGCCACCATTTTTCTTAGAACCTCTTTTTCCTAGTGACTCCCCCCGTTAGAAGTTGGTGCTGAGGTATACTGAGGTTTACAACGTTGGCGCTGTTGGGAGAGAGAGGTTTTCCTGATGGCCGCATGATGGCGCCCTTGGAGGTCGAAGACTTCATAGCCAGGGTCTCGACGCGGTTGTGCCTCGGGGATATCCCGTGGGGACTTCCCTGGGAACTGTCCCCGTGAGGCAGCGGCGTGAGGAATTTTGGTGGCTTGGTGAGGGGGTGGTCATCGTGCATGTCTATCAGGCCGTTGTTGGTGGGTGTCTTTCCCCATGGGGTGAGGGAGGGCTGGTGGTGCGGGTCCTCGTAACTATCCGCGCGCTGGCGGTGCCCGCTGGGGACGTACCCCGGCTCAATGGTTCTTGGAGAGGTATTCTTTGCCGACTTCCCCGTGAGAGAGTGGGAGCGGAGGACCTGTATCTCCTTCTTCAGGTCCCGGATCTGCTTGTCTCTTTCTGCAAGTTGGGCGTTCAGGTCTTCGATCGTCTTCTCCAGGTCCGCTTTTTCTCCCTGCACCTTAGCCACCTCGTCTTGCACCTCTGAGATCCTCGTCTCGCGATGCTCCAGCTCCTTGAAGAGTCGCGCCAGACGGTCGGAATTGCTGTCATGGAAGTTACGCATGTGTGCATAGAACGGTTTTGAGTCTGCCTCGATGGCAAAAAGCTTCAACACGTCTTGTCTCTCCTGGAGAGCGTCCTCGTACTTCCGACTAATCAGGTAAAGGCGGTCAAAGTGGTCTAAGAACGATCGGACCCTCTTCTCCCTCACCTGTTTGTTGTCTAGGTGCTGGATGTCAAGAGGAGCCTCTTCAGTCGGTGGCTCCACCTTTCGGAGTTTTTCCTCCATGTAAGCGTCCATGTCGTTGAGGGCGGTCTCCATCTCCGTGATCCGCTCCTGCAGACGACGCAGCGTGCTGTCGTTGGCGGAGTTAAAGTTCATTTGCGTGTCCAGTTGGAGTTTATGCTTCTCTTTTGCTTCTTCTGCGTTCCTAAGCAGCTTCATGTACTCCGCTGTTTTTTCTTGGAGGGCTTCTTGCGCCTTCTGACACTCGTCTTCCAGGCGGTGGATCAGCACGTCTTTCTTCTGCATCACCTCCATGTGTTCCCAGGATTCCTCCATCTGCTTCTGTTTCGCATCTAACGCAATCTGTTTCTCGCGGCTTTGTCCTTTCCATAGTGCGGTTAGGGCGGCTTCACGTTCCTGAAATAAAGATGAACAAGATACACATTTCTATGGAAAATAATTGATTAAACTTGGCTTAACCTTAAAGTTTTGTCACCTGGTTCCCAATTTCTAGTATAAGATCTGCATGGATTTTGTTATTATATTACATTATTATTATTTCCTTATGTACAATAGATCAGACCTTGTATACATGTATCACCGGGCACTCGCCTATTACGCTCTGAATTTAAAACTCATGGTGTAAAGAAACTAAATAAGGGTCCGTGCAACAGAAAGCCCGCCCTCCATATAGTTATAATGGATAGGGTTAGCCTGACCTACGGTAAGTGGGTCAATATCTAGGACCATGCTTGCCTGTACAAATGAATGGGAAGCGGACCCTCTATCATGGGGGAGGGGGTGCTGTCACGTTAAACCGACCCTGTCTAGCGAACGTTTTAAGCTAGTTCAACTGTGTATCCTCTACCTCCCCCCCCCTCCCCGGCCCTTTATACACATTCAATACATAAAATGTAATTTGCTGATACTAGTGTTCAAGCAGAATAATGCACAGAACTTATAAAGCCTGCGGTGGATATTTCTATCTAGAAGAAGTAGAAGGAAAAAAAGAAGATTAAATGTACCTGTACATGTACAATTTGTAGACCTGCTTGGCTACAAGTATGCCGCAAGTTAAAATACTGAATTGATATTGTGTGTGAATCTTACCCTCTCTTTGATATAGCCGTCAAGCACCTGCTTCTCTACATCTGATAGCGCCTTATTCAAGGAAGGAAATCTGCGGAAGACGTCGGGTTCAGGTGTCTCACCTCCCGGGAAGTCCTTGCTTTCACTGGCACTTAAAGCCTCTGGAAAATCACGACAGCTTTAAAATTGATCTCTCTCGAGTCGATAGTAAAGCTGGTGTATCTAGGCTCTCTCTCTCTCTCTCTCTCTCTCTCTCTCTCTCTCCCTCTCTCTCAAGCATATAAAATATTTTGAATAATGAAATAATCTACTATAAACTTCAACCAAAATATCATATTATTTTACGCCCAACAATATGAAATATTATGAATAATATGATAATTATTAAAAAATTATAAATGAGAAGGTACTAATCTCTCTCTCTCTCTCTCTCTCTCTCTCTCTCTCTCTCTCTCTCTCTCTCTCTCTCCACAAACTCACCATTTCGCAGGTGGTCAGCCAACAGGTGGTGACCGGTCACTTGGAGGACATCACAGAATTTATGGAAGGCGGCGGTCACTCTGACCAACAACATATCAATCATGGAGTTAATCTGTGCATCCCTGTTGACCACATTCTGAAATATCATTGAATATAATAAACATGACATTATGTATACATCGATTAACTAACACACACATATATATTTGCGTTGGTGTGTATATGAATTAATTTTTGTCTGTACATTTGAATACTTCACAGCTTGTTACTCAGCCACGATCATCCAAGGAATGACATGGTTCTGAAAACAAAAGGCACGTCGTATTTTCAAATACCCGGTACCGCAGGCGGAATCTAAGAGGAAAAGTGTAATTAATTTCTTTCATCCATCTTTAGCAATTAATACTTCATAGAAAAGTTTACGTCATTCTGTGTAAGCAAAGAATGCATCTTGGAAATTATGAGGTATTTTTTCTACCGTAGTATCGATTATGCAAGCAGACGGGAGGTAGTAATGAAACCTTAAGGCCAATGCAAGAAAAGCAACATTCACTCGTATCGCTAATGAACTATCAAAGACCGTTGACACTCTGAAGAGGCTATACGCTGAAGAAAACGGTAACTAATCGGTCGGCAAACATATCAATAGACTCGTTAATGGACGATCCTGATTTATGAGAATCGACGTGATAACACACTACATCGAGCTGAACCGGCTTGTTGTGAGACCGAAATCGACACCCTAGCAACCGTGACGCCATGGTAAAGAAATCGACGTTTTTTTTAGCTGCACATTTCAACGTTTGTATCAAGCTCGTAGTTTATTGTTGGACTTTGCCCTGAAAGATAAAAAAGGTTACGAAGATTGACATTTGGGTTATAAAGCCACCAGTTTCAAGTTAATCATTCTAGGTTATGTATTGTTGCTTTCTTTAAGCGCAGGCCTATAATAAGAAAATGTATACTTTTTCAGGAGAGAAAACAGCTGGGGAATAAACATAAATCTTGTCGCAGTTCTTGGAAGACGTTCTGTATGTATTTTTGTATTTCTGGAAAAACTTTGAACAAATGTGGTCGTGAAAAATTACTGCTTTGCAGCCTGACAGAAAATCACTTATTTTAGAATGATAAATGCCGTTACTTTCATCTGCTTACGGGCCTCTTGAAATTGCACAATCACTAGAACTAATTTAATGAAAATTAATACAGCCCGAGCAATTTATGCAAAATATGTACACCCACAACCCAGTCTCTCTCTCTCTCTCTCTCTCTCTCTCTCTCTCTCTCTCTCTCTCACACACACACACACACACACACAATCTCTCTCTCACCCTCTCTCTCTCTCTCAAAAGAAATAAAGCACATGTATTATAAACAATTCTGCGGCCACCAAATGCTCAAATGACTTTCCCAGAATCTTGAACCTAAATAATGTACACTAACAAAATATCTTAAACGGTTTCACTGATGTGATCGGTGTATATATGTCCTAACACAAAGCCCAAACACTATTCACACGTGCCCCAAAAGGTTGTTAAATGTATTAGCGAACCTTCAGAATGTTAACCAGTCATGTCAGATTTAGTGGGTCAAATGCACTGATGAAATTGAATCCGAAAAGTTACCCGCTAACGACCTAAATGGTATGCGTTTTACACATAAAAAGCACAAGGTTATTCTTTCAATTTTTTTCTTCCAAGCATCAAGGTCCTCATTTGCGTCACTGCATCGCCTGATGACATCAAACATTGTCCACGTGTTTTTTCGAATTGTTCCCTCTTCAGCATTTCCTTATTATTTGTTTAAAGTTAATTTCCAATTGTTAGTGGTTCGACTATGTTTTTTAGGTCTGTTAAATTCCATTTCGAAGTCATGACAGTATTTGAATACTTTTCAGTGACTCATAGAGGAAAGCCGTTGCAATTTTTTAAAGCATGGACGAAAGGAGGAATTTTTAAAATAGCTTTCCCTATCAGATTCTTACAAACTCTTCATTCTGATAGCATTGCATAAGACAACATTTGCTTCACTGAAAGTGACCTTGTCGGCAACAGAACTAAACTCCAAAAATGGCTTTTAGTCTCTCAAACAGTGCGAAGCATTAGCGTCAATTACAAGCGGAAACAAGCCGTAAAAGTGGATTTTCCTCTTCAATTAAGACACGCCTAATAATAACGCTGCCAACAAGTTAACCTAAACTATTAAACCGCGCGCTAGCTACTTCCACAACTTTTGAAAATCGGTCACCGTATACTCACACACACTGTGACCACTGGCGATGTAAATTCGGTTAATTTACGGGGATCACGTGTCAAATCGGTCCACCAGGGACGAGGTCAGACGGTCACCAATTATAGAGCCACGCAGGGGACAAAAACGATACCGCGGATTTGTTTTTTCCATTCTAAGGAATGTTAACACACGTCCAGTTGTAAGGGTGATTTATGATGCACATTGCTTTTATCAATATTGTTCGTTATATACAGGATACCGTATATATTATATATTTCAAAGAGTTTTTTTTTAATTTATTATTTATTATTATTATTATTATTTTTTTTTTTTTTTGGGGGGGGGGCTTTATAGTAGGTACCAGTACTTTGGCTATCCTTCATGACAATCTTACAGTTAAGTTTGCTTTAATTGTTAAAAAAAAAGTAAAACGGGGGAAATGCACTCGCAGCACCTTCACGTAGCGTAGCATTTCAAACGCGTAGCATTTCTCTGTTTAATGTCCACGCAGGCCGTTTAAATAATTTCTCGAAATAAGGAAATGTTTTTTGTTTGTAAACACGCAAGTAAACATAATGCTTTTTGCACTATAATATAACATTCCAATGATGTGTGGTCCGTCAAGATTAATTGGTTCGTTTATATTGTAAAACCACAATTCTGCGCGGAATTTCGTAAGATCAATACTTGTTTCACTACTTATTACTAACAGATATGCTCCCTACACATGCAACCTCGTAGATAGTGTCAGGGGTGCAGATTAATTGATATTGTCAATAAGACAAAAGTGAACGTACAATTTAAGATTGAGGAGAATCCTAAATAGAACAAAACACCACACATAAATGCATACTTTCAAAAGCACGTAAGAATCACACGCGCGCGTGCGCGTAAACCAAACTTGCAAGCGCACAGACATCACGCTACACTTAATGCGTAAGGAGCTGCATTCACTCACAAGACACCCTCAGGTGCATTTAAGTATACATAAGCTCTATCATAATATAAGACATTTATTTTCAATATTAAAGCACGATAGGCCAGTGCCCGAACTCAGCATGGGGCCGCATATAGCCGAATATCAACACAACTATTGCGTTACACTACGCGAGCTGCAAACAATAATTCCATCCACACAGTAGAACAAAAAGAACTGAAACTCGGTATGCTTGGACACTGTATAAACCCCATTCATCTCAGGCACTTGACATTTGACTGAACCTGGAAGAAAGTAACTAAAGAGATCTTGTTACTGATTTGGGGTAAAATACAATAGTAACACCGGGCATCTATAAAGTTCACGTTAAGTCAAACTGCTATTTCTCTGTAAATGCACTGTATATTTTAATATACTGTATATTTAAAAAAGATAAGCTTTACTTTGGTTGTGTAATTTCATATCGCTTGCGGTATTTGATGAAAGTTTTATAATCGTTAAAATAACAATACTAAGACAAAAAATACATATGACATTGTCATGTCATGTCACTTCACGTCAAAGCATCAAAGCTTCAGTATTCATTTGACATAACATCACTCTGTAATGTCATGTCAGGTCGTGACGCACCATGTCGCGGCAAACCATATGTGGCATCATATAGCATATCATGTATCAACAATGCTTCAACAAAATAACATACAACAGTAACAACAACATGAATTTCACACATAAAAAATCCATCTTAGCACTAGAATTGTAAACATGGAAGACAATAAGCGGCTAAAGAAGAAAATATGAGGCAGAATCGATCATTGTTTGTGGCAAAAATCAGTTAATTATTATTTTGAGATCAGATTTGTTATAAAGTAGAATTCTTGCAATTATGATAAAATTTAGACTTTGATCAAATAAAGCGACAAATCAAATAGCAGGGAAAAACGTAATCAGCAGAAAGCCAAGAACGTCGTGTATACACAGTTGCTGTAGTAATCAATAAAATCAGTTGATTGTGGATGACTGAGCAAAAAAAAAAAAAAAAATGAATAGATAGACGAATAATAATGAGTTATAATAATGGAAATTAAAAAGGGGAATGAGGTTGAAACAACATCGAAAAATCAAATACTTGATTAAAATCGATAGCTGCTTTAAAGTAGAAACTGGCTGATTGATAGGATAGAAGTAAACTAGGGTTCAAGCTTAAACAAAAATAAGACAAGAAGAAGATTTGTAATTAAAACAATGTCTAATCTATGAACAATTTGATCGATTAGCAACTATTAACGGTTGGTGGACAATTTGCTTATGCTATGTATTGAATCAAATGTTCAACCAAAAGCACAGTTGAATCAGTTTGTAAAACATTAGAGATGAAAGTGTAGGGTTTACTCGGACTGTTCTAGCCCTAGCTGTTCTACTCGATTTGTAACATTTGTAGATTGTATCGATCTTGATTGATTATCATGAGATCGAGTAGGACATGTAGGTATACAGTGAAGGCAGTTGTAGAAAAAACAACAGAAAGGAAAAGAAAAGGCTTCGTATCTAATCAGCGTTTTGATGATTACAGAAGACAATTAAGCCAGGGTCTACAGTGTACTAATTATCCATGTTTCAGTTCTCCCATTCGATTAACGTTATATTATAATCACGGTGTATTGTATTTACACTTGTTGAATCGAGTAGGAGAACGTGAATAGGAAGCTCACCGTTGGCAGATGCGCCCGTCTTAACGGACTGGATTCTTTATCAGTTTTACTCTGCAAATCAAAAAGAATATAACAATGCATTCTATGGTAACGATTTTTTACACGGGAATCGATCCTGTGGGATTAACCTTTGTCGTCCGGAAACTTTTCCTAAAAGCTCGTTATTGACAGGTAAATATTGTTCCTTTTACGCAATATAATTCAACGCACAGAGTAATCAGTGCGATGAAACGGAGTAAACATTGGAGATTGATGATATTCGAGAAAGTTGAGGAACTCCATTATGTCCTGTGTGATTCTGCATTGTAGAAAACGTCCAAAGTTTGGGTCTATTGCAAACATGGGAGGACAAAAGCTTGGACTGTTGCGGGAATGGATAATATCAATGTCTGTGTCTGTTGAGGCATGATATTGTCCAAAGTGACTTTTATACCAAACACTTACTTATCTTTTATGCACGGTTAACTAAAGTAACCTGATTGAGGACAAACGTTATTTCTAAAATAAAATTTAAATCACTCGAGTTGAACCGAAATCGTTTATGGGTTCCGGCTACACGTGTCTTAAGAAGTAGGCCTATCAACTTTATTGGCACCCGCATTGCCATTGATAATAAATTGATGTTGGTTTGTTACACATGGTATTCAGTTGCATCTTTAGCTAGAAAAACTTCCAGTAACAACGTTTTTTTCTTTCCTTTTGTACAATTCACATAAAAGTATTTCGGAGCCATTGTATGTGAACGAATCCCATTACCTATCCAATCGGAGAAAAAGGATTCATAGCGATGTACAAAGGAGTTTTCTCACTGTACAGTGTATAAGGAACGGAATATCGAAATACTTCAAGGCCGTCTTAAAGCAAGCATGTTGGTACATTCCAGTCAGTCTGAAGAAGTCAAACGTGTACCTTCACCACCTCAATACTAATGCCCCTTTGAAATACCTCCTATATTAATGTACAACTTTGTACGTGTTACTGAATGAATTGTTTGCACTTAGAAATAAATGTGTACACAATTCAATACACTGATGCTGTAAGTAGAGTCCAGAATATACTAGCGTGTGAGAATTGTAGCAAATCGAAAAGTCTATGAAAACCATGTTGGCAACACTGTGGATAGGGGAAGATAGAAAGGACTGGAGGCAACACCGCCCTCTGTTTAACCATAAATACTAGCAGGCCNGAATCAAATGTTCAACCAAAAGCACAGTTGAATCAGTTTGTAAAACATTAGAGATGAAAGTGTAGGGTTTACTCGGACTGTTCTAGCCCTAGCTGTTCTACTCGATTTGTAACATTTGTAGATTGTATCGATCTTGATTGATTATCATGAGATCGAGTAGGACATGTAGGTATACAGTGAAGGCAGTTGTAGAAAAAACAACAGAAAGGAAAAGAAAAGGCTTCGTATCTAATCAGCGTTTTGATGATTACAGAAGACAATTAAGCCAGGGCCTACAGTGTACTAATTATCCATGTTTCAGTTCTCCCATTCGATTAACGTTATATTATAATCACGATGTATTGTATTTACACTTGTTGAATCGAGTAGGAGAACGTGAATAGGAAGCTCACCGTTGGCAGATGCGCCCGTCTTAACGGACTGGAGTCTTTATCAGTTTTACTCTGCAAATCAGAAAGAATAAAACAATGCATTCTATGGTAACGATTTTTTACACGGGAATCGATCCTGTGGGATTAACCTTTGTCGTCCGGAAACTTTTCCTAAAAGCTCGTTATTGACAGGTAAATATTGTTCCTTTTACGCAATATAATTCAACGCACAGAGTAATCAGTGCGATGAAACGAAGTAAACATAGGAGATTGATGATATTCGAGAAAGTTGAGGAACTCCATTATGTCCTGTGTGATTCTGCATTGTAGAAAAAGTCCAAAGGTTGGGTCTATTACAAGCATGGACGCACAAAAGCTTGGACTGTTGCGGGAATGGATAATATCAATGTCTGTGCCTGTTTAGGCATGATATTGTCAAAAGTGACTTTTATTCCAATATACTTACTTATTTTTTATTCACGGTTAGCTAAAGTAACCTGATTGAGGACAAACGTTATTTTAAATTACTCGAGTTGAACCGAAATCGTTTTATGGGTTCTGACTACACGTGTCTCAAGAAGTAGGCCTATCAACTTTATTGGCACCCGCATTGATAATAAATTGATGTTGGTTTGTTACACATGGTATTGAGTTGCATCTTTAGCTAGAAAAACTTCCAGTAACAACGTTTTTTTCTTTCCTTTTGTACATTTCACATAAAAGTATTTCGGAGCCATTGTATGTGAACGAATCCCATTACCTATCCAATCGGGAAAAAAAGGGATTCATAGTGATGCATTATGCGCTTTAGTATTTTCTCACTGTACAAGGAACGGAATATCGAAATACTTCAAGGCCCTGTTAGAGCAAGCATGTTGGTACCCTCTACCACAGATTCTCTACCGACAGATTGATTTTCCACAGATATTCACAGATATGTATATTTATCTAGAGACATATCTGTGAATATCTGTCGCCCTGGTAGAGGGTAGCATGTTGGTACATTCCAGTCAATCTGGGCTCCGTATCTCGAAAGGTTCGCCATGTTGCGCACGTGAGCAAGTGTCTCGATTCCATGGCCCCGTATCTCGAAATAGAATCGGTTATGGAATCGAGACACTAACGCACGAGCGCAACATAGCGAACCTTTCGAGATACGGAGCCCTTAAGAAGTCAAACGTGTACCTTCACCACCTCAATACTAATGCCCCTTTGAAATACCTCCTATATTAATGTACAACTTTGTACGTGTTACTGAATGAATTGTTTGCACTTAGAAATAAATGTGTACACAATTCAATACACTGATGCTGTAAGTAGAGTCCAGAATATACTAGCGTGTGAGAATTGCAGCAAATCGAAAAGTCTATGAAAACCATGTTGGCAACACTGTGGATAGGGGAAGATAGAAAGGACTGGAGGCAACACCGCCCTCTGTTTAACCATAAATACTAGCAGGCCAAAGATGGGGTGGGGGGGGGGGAGGGAGTATAAAAATGCCGCTTAAAGTGAAGTAAATATCACATATTAGACAAGGTCAATCTTATTGCCATACGTAGGGCCATGGAAGTGAAATTAAAGCTGGGGGGGGGGGGCTCACTTTTCAACCCAGCCGATCCCAAGCCGAAGCCTTCCGATCCCAAACCGATGCAGGCCGATCCCCAACACAAACTAGCCGATCCCTGGCCGATCCCTGGGTCGCCAAGGTTGATTTAGTCAGTACAATCGTGTGATCACACGCAACATTGGTTCCATTGTTTAGAGATGTAATAAAATGCCAAGGTAAACTAATCTGTATTACATAATACTATGTCTGGAGAAGGTGGGATTTCATAATATATACAAACATTACACGTAAATGAAGGCTTTTATAAGATTGTAATAGAAATAACACATTTTAAAGGGGCTTAATTTCAATAATAAATTATGGAAGTGCATGAATTGCCATTACCTCTTACTTCTACTTCAATGCTTTGGTGGAAGCCAATTTGAAGGAAGCCAATAGTAGTGCATGCAATATGAAGTACGTCAAATGAAACATTTCGTTAATCTTATTGCTACTTGTAAAGAGGTGTTCAAGTGTAGCGTACTTATTAAGTATAAACCATTTTAAGAAACTTTCAATTACACACAAGGAGAAACGGATGTTTTTAATGGCACAACTTGTTAAATAACGTGCCATAGTATCGCTTATTCAAATACTATCAGTATGGCCATGTTGTTGGACAGTTTAATAGGATGGATAAATGCCCTTCATTTGTTAATAAGAAAGCGTTCACTGTACTCGAATTTGGTATATTTAGTTAAAAGTTAGTAAAAAAACCAAAGATCGTGGGTGTTTCCCGGCAATTTGACAACAAAATCTGGTACGACTAGTTGGAAAAAAAATTTTGACAGATGTTAGTGATTAAATTTTTTAGAGTTTAAATGTCGGCATTACTGAGACGCCCACCTTGGTTTAACCTCATTACATGAGTAATCAAGTTCGACTTAAGTCCAAAATGCCACATCCTAACATTAAACGTTCCTATAAGGACTTCAGAGAGGTATTTACATGTAGGTATTTGTAACTAAGACGTCAACAGATTGCACAGGGCACATTAAGCTACAGTAGAGGATAAGGTCTCTCTTTTGGCAAAAAATAAGTGTCTGTTTGTCCACAGAACAACAATAATATTTTTTCCATTTTTATAAATTGTGTTGCGTCCTGTGTGTACAACATTCATGAACGTTGTGTCTATGTGTTTTTAAAATCACCAACTACAGTACGAGAATCGAATAATTGTGACGTCTGGTTATGAATATTGGTACTGCTTGTCAATGGGAAATACCGTTCTTATTCGCGTGTTAGCAAAACCGAAATAAACAGAAACCTCTAAGTGGTAAATGATGGAATCTATGAGATGAGTAGGCCTATTCAACACTGGTAACTTACCGCTATATTGGAGAGCATGGACTCAGTGAGGACATTCTGTTTTTGCAGTCTGTCGTAGAACTCCTTTGTCGGAATTATGTTTCTGGCCAACAACACTCGATTTTCGTCCAGAATCTTTTTGTATTTAGGATCCATAGTGCATTTGAAGTCTGTCGTCTGTTTTACTGGATTTGTTGACAGTGCGGAAGCATTTGAAAATCGTTTGGTGGTCAACCGATCACAAAGATATCTTCTTATCTGTAGTCCTTCTTTTCTAATTGAGCACAGAAAACTATTGTTTTAATTATGTTCTTACATGCTTACACTATGACTACAAAAATCCAATCAAATTCTTTCAGCCTGACGATAACTGCCCCGCAGTAAATTCGACGTCCTCTCGTACTTCAACGTTCCGTTTTATCAAGAGAAGAAGGCGATCTTTAAAGTGTCCACTAGCGTCCAACCTTGACCACTTTTCTAACTCCTTGTCCAGTTTTGGCAGCGTTCGACTTGTTTATGCCTTGGAGGTCGCCTTCGCTGCGGCACCTGTTTAACATACAAGTACGGCGTTAAATGTGCATAATACGACAATTCACATGTTGAAACATTGGGTAAACATAAATCATTGAAATTGCTAGCAACAGAACAATAACGGGCCACGTTCTTTAAGTTCAGAGGCTCTCTGTTCACAGGTGACGAGGCAGCCAAAGAAGTTAGGCCGCCTGTTGTTATACTTAAAGAGCAAACTTAAAAGGAATATTTGTTCAGACAATTTGGGAAATCTATGCGTCATAACGGGATTTGACGGAACGGGCACTTTATTAAGAGGATAAATCATTTCAAATGATTAACCTGGAGAGGTGAATTCAACCGCGTTGACAGAAGGAGACCATGATTTTGAAAGTTTAATAGGTCCGGGGACACAGAATGTTTTTTTTTAGGTGGGGGGGGGGGGGGGGAAAGTCTGTCCATCACCCATCGCGCACGAACGACATTTTTTCACGATCGCTCAAACAGGCATTATCACACACGGGCACGCGCAAACTTAGATAAGCTCACACAAACAAACAAACAAACAAACAAACAAAAATCTGGGGAAAGGGTTCCTAAACGTGACAAATCCTGTAGTATGATAACCAAGTCCTTCTTCTTTTGTCTTATGTTATGCATACAGTCATGTTTTACACTTAACTTCGGGGTTATCATTATAGATCGTGTTGACGAAAACAAGCAATGTAACACGTACCATAAAGACCTTATTTGTAATTCGAGAGAGGGCATTGTCAGCGGTCACCTACTAAAAACATCGCGTCCCCGAGCGAAACTCACTGACCGGAAAAAAACAGCTCCCTGTTTACATATCAACTATACTTACTGCATTTACACTCAGTAAATGCATTTCATTTAATTAATCACGCCACGAATAACGCTCAAAATAAAACGAAAGGAAATTTCGTTTATTCTAAACATGAAGCATGTAATACCTATAAGACATTAGTATATATAAGAAGTAATTCATTTAGCTTGATTAAGCTGTTGGACTGTGGTAATAGAAAGATAAAGCAGAAATTGCCTTGACTTATAGACCCCATTCCCAGAGATTTAGATCGAGTCAACTAGATCGACCTAACTCCCTGGGGGTTAACGCTAAATAGCTGTCAGAAAAGTTAATTACCCCCTTCCAGCTTGTAGTAGGCGGGACGGTCATTTAAGCCGGATAAACTGACAGTAATCTAGTGAGACTCCCCACGGGGATGATCGATCTAAAATCTATGGGAATGCGCCCATAGACAGTGTATAACTAGGAAGGCTCTGAAGAGAAGAGGGGTACTATCATCAAAGTTTGTGCAATTACATCTTTATGTCTTTTTTAATATTTTTAATCTTTTTTAAATTCATAATGGGGATCACCTTATAAAAATAACTTCAGTCCCACCTTAGATCGTGCATGCTATGTAATTTTCCTACTAGTATTTTAACTGAAATGCATCTTACACTGTGCCAAAATATGTTACACTCCTACTTTTCCTGCACGTGAATATTATTATTATTATTATTATTATTATTATTATTATTATTATTATATTTTATTTGTGGGGTGGGGAAGGGGATGTCAGGTACCCTTTGCCCATTTATCGCTCAACAATCACCATGTACCCGTACAACAGCAATGCAATGCGAGCCCATTAGCAGACGCACTGAACCACCTTGAGAATTTGAGAAATTTTGACACGGAGATTGAATTATTTAATTGAACCGAAATACACCGTGCGTTCGAGCGAATAGAGTTTGTATTTTATTCTGTGTTTACATACACTTAAATTCATAAAGGCCTCGCTTCTGTGGTTTGAGCTTTGTGTAAACGCCAGTGAGCGTTAAATGAGTTCAAAAAGAAGTCAAATTTACATCAGGGTCCCAACTGTCGAAGTAATTAAATCATGTCACATTGACATGGTATAAAAGTATGACACGGAAAACACCCCACAAAGCAAGTGATTTGGAGTGGAGAGTGGGCGAGGGCGAGGGCGGGCGGGGCTGTCAGGGATGTGGGGGCTGGAACTGAGGAATCATTGTAGCAGTCCACCTTGTCTAATGTCATTGTTGGAAGTGAACACGGTTGGACATTTCTCAGCGCAATTCCTCCCCGTCACCTGTGTAGTTACGCATCACATGTTATTTTATACCTCATACCCCTTGTGTAGAGAGGATCACAGACATCATAACAAGAGTCTTCCACTTGTCTTAGTTCGTAGAGGAGAACACAAGTTTAACACTGGTAGATGCTTATGCCAAGCCAAGATAGGACTACATGTACAAAATCTGTCTAGCTGTCTATCTTAACCAGAGTCCTTATGCAAAATAAACCCCTCAGGATGGCAGCAGAAGGAAGAAAAGTAGCTCAACATGATAGAGAGCAGATCCAACAATCACACCGCTAACTCAAACACGCAGAATAAGTAATATGTAAATATACATTCCGATCGTTGTTTTGTCCTCAATATAAGCGCGTTCCTAGCGTTATGATTTGAGACAAGCTTCTACCACAAAGAGGACATATACAAATGAAGAAGCTTTTCAATAGCTAATATCAATATTTAATAGAAGTCTCTTCACACTTCTTCATTATTGTATACCTTATTCTAAATAAGCCCATGAATATTGAATCAGTTGATTAATACTGGGTAATTCAATAATTTTTGTATCTTATATATAATTTTGAGAGAAAGAGAGAGAGCAGCAACAATTCAACAGTTCTCCGCCGTAATCCCTACGAAACTCGTACACGTACAAGTGCTTAACGAAATATTTAGATACCCTTTATAAGATGCAATTTATCAAACCAAATAATGTTGACAAATCTACTCACCCGACGCTGTTCTAGTAGTAGACTCCTTTTTTTCAACTGCATGAAGATCTCAATAAACAACCAGACCCATGGTTACATATACCCCATAGGACGAGCAATATACACTCACAATTGTCGTTATAAAGTATTTGATCCGTCTCCATATAAAAGCGACAACCCCCTCACAGAGTATTATTTATGTCAAGTCCACCGGTAGCTTACTTCAGCAAAGTTTACACAAGTTATTTCTATGGTTCGAATTCAGGTCATCCAGGCAGTTAAAGCACATTGAATTTGACTTAACATGCTCGCAGTATATTATTAAACGTTTATGCATTTGAAGTGGAAGATAACTGATTTACTTAATTGTCTTGTCTTGATCTATGTGATCTTGGCGCGGTCTAAGTCCGCCGGGTGTAAACGGGCCTCCGGTTTCATGCTCGGTTCTTCATTTCCGACTTCCGTGTAAATCGATAAAGTTGTCTTTAGTCAAGGAGCGCGGCTAATAGATTTGCTTTCAGGAACAAATGTGTCATGCATGCTCACCCTGGTTATCACAACGTTAATGATAACGCACTTTTCATTCTTCATCGCTCACTGCGGCCGGTAGAAGAAGCTAGGGAGGGGTTACAGTCGGGGATAGGATATAGACTATAAAGAGATTGGATAAAGTTCGGATAGGGGATACCGGGGTTCAATTTATGACAAGGTAACTATGGGGTAAAAGAATTGATCACATCATTTTGTAAAGTGACCGTATCCAATAGTGCTTAGAAAGCGTCGGCATTGAGTCCAAATGAAATGATTTATCATCTTAAAGTAATTTTATTAAAGAGACTTGATAGGGGGCCAACTTTGCCCGGGGTCCAACTAGCCCGGTCTTCCCTATATGCCCCCTCCCCTCATTTACCCTCCACAGTGGTGCTAATTCATAGTATCTGTTTGATTTTACCCATCGAACGGTTTCATGGGGCTTAAGTTTTGCGAACTTTTGACTGGGAATTCCTTTTATTTCATATATATATATTGAATTCTTCGATGGCATGTCAAACAATGCAACTTCTATCCGCTTTAAGGATTAAGTTACTGGAAAGGTCCCAACTTTAAAAGAATGTCTGAACCTCCCCCCCCCCCCCGAAAAAAAAAGAAAAAAAAAATGCTGGATTCACTTATTTCAAAATTTATGTAACTACCCTAAATTCAATATGTTTTTAAAGTTTGACAAAAAATAAAACATTATTACGCTAATATCTTCTCGAGGAAAGCGCATTCTTCCCAATTAAGTCGTCTAAAGTGTCAGTCACAGTGAGATCTGTAATAATTAATTACGTATATCACCATTTAATGTGCCTATTGACAATGGCTGTTGATATAAGACTCATTCCAATGGAGTGAGTTCTCATTGAGAAAGGAGAAAAAATGCGAAAAATCGATGAGTGCATAGCGATAACGCAACACAATATCATGACACTTGTGTCTCTATAACTAATAGTGCATAGATCTTAATACATTCAATAGGCGTATAATTGGGTTTTAAGGACCTTGGTTTATAGCTGTAAAGACAGTTTCATTTTGTACTTCATTTATTAAGAGTTTCCTGCTTTCTATTAACTCTTGTTTGATTTTAAATTCTGTCATGTGTTTCTTTTCACACTAGTATAAATATTACTCTTTAAGTCATTTATCTCTTTACAAATATAAGAAGCATTTCTTTGCGAGGTTTTCTTTACCAAAATGGAAAAGCGAGCAAGAAAAAAGTGAGATTCAAACTAAAACATTATTTTCATTTTCCGTTGCTATCACCCGTCAGTTAAAACTTTGAAATTAGTTTATCAGAAAATTCCTGCTACGGAATTGCGCGGGGCACTACTCTGCTACTTTAAATTGTCAAATTAAGTGCACCATTTAAAAACATCCTGAACTTCCTTTTTTAATAGATATGATACACGTGTTGAGATTACTTACGCCACAAAATCATGCAGAGTTATGGCACGTTTTGGCAGTCGCATAGATTCGGTTGAACTAAAGAATAAAGCCACTGCAATTTATTAATTTATTTCATTTTTATCTCTTTCTGTTTCTCCCTCCTCTCTCTCTCTGCTCGCACTATGTGACACTGCGGTTAAGTAACGTAACTTTCTACTCAACAAAAATCCCCAGCAACGCTCTTTATCAGTTGCCTCAGTCAGTACGGTAACATTAGACATCATCTACTTATATGATTAATACACTTTGCCAGTTTCTATTAACTCCCCAACCCGGTTCCCGTTGTTATGGAACTTAGCGTCGTGTTTGATTCTCAGTCTGATTCTTTTCCCGTCGTCTTCTAGTTACAAAGTCAGCCTTATAGGTGCTTAAACCAATTTTGTAGCAGCTACATGTAAAAAGGCCTCTGGTGGAGCATAGCGAATTCGTACGTTATCAGGACTTTACGCAAACACGTACTGCAGTGACATCCTTAAGGAATACACATAATTCTTTAAACAAGCGTTTGTTTTTGTTATTACGCCACGTGGTTCTTGGGTCGCCTAGACTGCGTGATCTCGCTGCTGATTTACGACATTAAAAACTAAACAGTTTCTCGTAAAAAAAAAAAAAAAAAAAAAGACGGAACATTTGGGTGGCATTTTGATATTTTATTTCCTCAGTGCGACTGCACCGTTTATAAACTCAACGGTTTATATTATTATAATTTATGAAATTAAATTAAGTCGTGGTGCGAAAATGTGACCAGGATAATATTTTCGGGCAGTTTTCCAATGAAAATGAGTTCCCTCTTTAAACGTGCCGTTTTCTGCAGGTTCTCAGATAAAAAAGGCTTGAGAAGACACGTCGTCTAGACTGCCATAACTATTAAACTGCGGCTGGTGTTCGCTTTTTAAGGATACGTTTTTTACACTCATTGTTGACATTTAAATTGCGGTTAATTTTTTGGGTAACTTAAATCCAAACTGTGACAGCTGTCAATGAACCGTGTATAATAAGCGGCGCACATTTTATCACATAATGTTTGTTTTTTTATTATGTCATTTTACGATCCTTGGACCCACTATTTTGGGGATCTCAGACATTAATATGACGTTAATCATCAGCAGAGCACAGGAATAAGTGATGACCCGATTTATACTTTCAAACTATGGCAGGGTTGTATGCAAAAGGGGGCGGGGGGGGGGGGCGGGCTGGGGGAGTTTAAAAAAGAAATGCGTTTTTGGGCTGGAAAAGTTCCGCTATGACACAATGAAATTATGATCTTGGTTTTATGCCAGGTTGGGTCAACTGGGGTGGGTGGGTGGGTGGGTGGGGTAGAAAGGGTCACTTTTTCAGAAAAATAACCTCCTTTTGAACTCTCCTGCTAGGATCGAACCTGGTACGCTCTGCTGAACGACATCTGATATCCTGTGTCTAATCTTTTAACATGGCCATATACATATATATAGGCCCTACCCTTGAAACTAGGGAATTGACTAGGTCTGATACTGTTTTAGTTCAGAGGCCAAAACATAGGAAAGTCCAGGGTTACATGTACAAGGTCAGGGCCTATTCCCTCGCCTCACACTTTTGAACTACCGATTACAACGACGTGAAAATGCTACATGTATCGACCCCTTCCATAAACAAAAAGTTAACACTGTCAGTATTTGATAACAAAGGTTACGTCCGTTTTCCAAAAGAACATTAATATGCCACAAACTCTACGATCAATGACACAATTGACTACGAATTTCACGCTTACCTCTCTTTCTTTTTCTTGCGTATTTCTTTTCTTGAGAAGAACAACACAGAATCGATGTTTCTCCGAGCAGGGAGTTCGGCCGGGTGAATCCCTGAAATGAGGCTATCAGCGATATGAAGCGGTATCGGCAGCGCAAACACTGTCTACTGAGATACCGGGTCCTCTGATAGTTGCTACATGAACATTAAGACGACACAGACGCAAGCTGGATTATTAACTGAAGTCGACACTGGCATAAGAGGATTGGGTGATTCAGGAGATTTCGTGGCACCCTTTGTGATAGGTCAAGCCCAGACGTCATTGCCGTTGCTCAGATTTAGACCGGGGAGGAGTTTGTGATCGCGACGAGCCTCGTAGTGACAAAAACTCCCATGGTATTGATGTCAACAGTCTTGTGAGTTGAAGCGAAAACGAGGCTCAGAGGGTGGAGCTTTCTTCACGTGAACCCGTGTTGTCATGTGCTAACTGATGCAGTGTCGCTTAATGGTTCCGAATTTTTAGGGACAGGGATATGAAAAAAGTGCAATTATTCACCAAATGATTAAACATATTGACTTATATTTCTGTTGCTTAGCTTATCGCTTGTTCAAATGAGGAGAAAGTCGATTCATCTGTGACGCGGGAGCACGAATAAATAACGCTATCAGGAGTTGGTTTTAATCACATTCCGCTGTCTCCCCCTAGTAACACAGGAGAGGTCCTCGCATAGCTTCAACGAGTAGTGCTTATTTTTAAAACTTTTTCAGCGCATCTGGGTGACACAGCGTTACAGGCAATCTGCGTCATTGTTGAAACTATTTTTCAGTCTTGAATAACAACAACAATTGCCCTCAAATCCTTTCAGAAATTTCTTTTTATTTGCGATAAACTTCGAAACAAAGAGTTAACCCCGAGTAAACGCACGGGCCCTTAACTAAAACTGTTCAGTGTTCTACTACAAAGCCGCTTAATGTTTGTCGTGTTTACTAAAAAATGATTCTCGACTTTTTGCAATACGACAATGAATATTTACAACGGGTATAATGCTACTGCGGTTGTTTATTCAGAATCGAATGTTTATGTACGTGGGTTTATGAAAGTGGCCAAAGCACTGCCGTGACCCCGTGAACGCGGGCCCCAGGTTGAGTAAGAGCGCACGACGTTACATAGACAATAGTTTATAGTTTAAAGTCAAAACTTTTAATGAAAAAAATAAGATTTATCTTCAATTGCAACTTTGTCCCGAGAAATGAATACCTATACTGTGTAAAACAAGTACGTGTAACTTTGAAAGAAATGCCAACTTATCCGTCATGTTCATTTCAAAAACCGCTCTTTGTTTTTACGGACAGTCGTGACGTCATTATGTACATATCGTGATTACGTCGTGAGAGCCCAATATTTGTTTGTGCCTCTTACTTAGTAAGCCTGAAGGTTATCCGTGTTTATTTATGCGATTATTTCGTCAATCCAAGGGTAAATGACTAGCGATTGTTTATCACTACAGTTTTTCCTCATTTGGTTCCTGTCGGCTTATTCGAATTCTACATTGGTGAACATTTAAGACTGGAAATTGTCAAAAGATCAGTTGAAAGATACGTTTTTTCCTTTAAAGTTACAATAATCATGCACGTATAAGCACGGTACGGTATCCGGCGTCAACGAACGACTTCTGACCTTCTCGCATTTTATTTATGTTAAATGGTAAACAACATGGTAACCGAATCTTGTCAGTAATTATGAAGCGCCTCCTCCCCAATATCTTTTCTAGGACGCCTCCATTTATAAGAAATATCGGTAGCACAAGAATTAAAGGGCCATATTTTTGTTAGAATAAGCCAAATTTGTGGATGTTAGAATTAAATGAATTATTTCACCTATTTTATAACGACATAGGCATTGTTCATATTTGATCCCAATGGTGTCTTCATCTCAGTCGACTGCTGCTGATTTATTCTTCGTCGAAATAGACTAAAATTGTGGTCTTAAATTTTTGACTGATTTCAGTCTAATGTTCTTCTTTGAAAAGGCCCCAGGTCTCGGCAAAGTCATCGTCAGATGCCCCGGGACTATCCACGCTTCATTCGTCACCAATACCTTGGACGATTAGGGTCACGGGCGGGGTCGTCCTATTCAAGGCATAACGTGAAAGAAGTGCCGCTATTGTGCCGTTAGCGATAGCTGCTTGTTATTCAGTCAAATAATGCGCATAATAGCGGACTGTTGTGATTTTTGCTATGGCATCTTTTTACCTCGGAGATTTAAAGGGCGTTAACAAACGCGGGACATAATGAGAAGCTATAAATCATTTGTCGCTGAGTCCAGGGTTTCGCGGTTTCAAATGGGGTAACTATTTCACGTTTTGTTCCGAGTCTCTGGGGCTGGGTTAAGTCGTTTTTGTTCCCTTCCCGTGATTAGTTCGGGCGACAAGAGCCACTGTTGTGTAGTAAACACAGCTGTGTTGTCGTATTACAGTGAAGTTGACCGGTGTCACTGATCTGTCAGTGTTTGTCAACAAGGAGACAAATGTGAAGTCAGGGGGACAATCGTAAGGGTCAGCAAAGGTCGCGAGGGAGGCTCGCGCAGCGACTTGTCCTTTCGCGAGTGATTTAACATTAGCACACACAGCTGTGAAAATCAAGTCTGACTTTTCTTCTCGTTCAGCATTTTGGAAAAAGTTAGGAATGTGATGTACACCTCATTAAAGCTTTTATGCAAGAATTTCAGTAAATTCGGTTCATGAAGTCCGCGAGTAGTAAATATGTACCTATATATGGATGGGTAGCGTGGCATGTAATTTTGTGCTTAATACGTTTTGGCTCATCAAAGTATAATTCTATCATTTCAAAGCAAATATTTATTCCTATTTTCGAGATTTAGATTAATAATGGGCTTCAAGATTTGTTGACTCAACAGAGAGTACTTGGCCTATTTCAAACACAAAACAATGAACATCGATTCCACAAAATAAAAGCCTTGTCTTGTCTGTTGCATCCTTGCCATGGGCAACTGGACATTATATGCTAAATATCGTGCTATCACCCGGTGTTATCTCAGTTTTTCAACAACTAAATTAAAACATCGGAACACATGAGGCACTTTTCTACATTCTCAACACAAGAGAGCTAACGTCACAGATATATTATAACCTGGAAGATGGAATTTCATGTACAATTTTACTTGCTTTCCATCTGCTGCATGCTTTATCCACAGGCCGAAACTGCGTTTCAAGCAAGATCCTTTAAGATACAGCGTAGCTTCAGATTGGCAGATGGCGTGTCGAACGGGGAGATACCTACGGCGTATCAGGTGCTTTCTGTGGCAGATTGCGCTCTTCTCTGCCTTCGTCTAACTCCTGCCACTTGTAGATCGGTCAGCTACCGCAGGGACAATAGGATGTGTCACGTAAATAACAGGGTAGCCGGCGACTCAGTTGGTGTGGAAGTCGTTGCAGATGAAAATTGGGATTATCTGTTTGATAAAATAGGTGCGTCTAGATAAGCACATAACGTTTCTAGGTAGTTTTTTCAACTTTAAAAATTATTTTCTATTTATTTTTATTTTTTTAAATCAGAACTGTCCCTGTGACATCACTTGAAGAACGGATTCTTGTTGAAGTTCATCTATTTAAAGTTGGCAATATTTGATAGATTCAACATCAAATCAATACATCAGTGTTAAAATAACTTTAATTTTAAATATTAAAAACAAAAAAATTAAAAATAAAAAAATATATTCAGTTTTTTCTTTTGTAACATCTGTGAGAAAGGACCAGAATTTCGTTTATCAAGCGATCGAATATAACAAGAGCTTTGGTATCTCAGTCACGATCCGTGTTTTATTCTTTTTATTTGGCCAATCAATGGTTTTCATAAATTATTCAACAGTCCGTACAAGAGAGGTCTTTAAATAATAAGAAAAGGTACTCTATATTTGTCTTCTTAGCTGCATCATGTTCGGATTGGAAGAAGTTAACTGACACTAGCGGCCTCTATTGGGTTGACCAGGATGGCGCCGGTGGCGTGAGCGCTTTTGAGGTGTACTGTGACATGTCAACCACTCCCCCCACTGTGTCCTTCCATCATGATCATGAAGAGAGGACCCGGGTGAAGGACTACGACCCACCACTGTCTTATTCAGTCACGCTGTCATATGGGGGTAATTGCTACTATTGGGCATAGCACGTTGTAGAGGCAACCCTTTTGTTGCCCTACGTTTTTTTCACGCATTACATGAAAGGGATAACGTATGAGATTCATATTTCACGATAAAACATTGCAAACAACCTATTTAAATACAATATATTCCATTTTCCACTAAAACAGCCAAAGCCAAAACGAAGAGCTTTTGTCCCTTTAATATTCTCTTTTGTGCACGTGTAAGGTCAGAACTCATTTTCTGGACAGTGAAAATCCCCAACTCTTGCATTTCCATGGTGCTATTTGAACGTGTAATGATTGCAGAATCTCAAAAACTTATATTGCAAAGAACATTATCGTTTAGTGAGCGTGCAACAAATATGACCACCTATATTTTGAAAGAAGAAGTTAAAGGTTAATATACCTAGTATTTAGAAAATTCTGCAATTGGAAATATTACCTATAATTCGTTGTGCCTGTACGTGAAAAAAAAACAGCATAATATCAAGAGTTACATATTTTAAAAATATTTTAGATTTTATATATTCTGCTAGCTGTATTTTTTTTTTAAATAAAAGTGATTGTCGCTTTAATGTAAAGTGTAATGAACAATATTAATTGATGTTAGACTTTATGTTGTTTACTGCATGTTGCTATTCTTCTTCTTCTCCTTATTAGACATGAGACAAGTTGCGCGCAAAAAGAAAATTCCGAAAAATGACCAAACAAACACACAAACATTGTAAACAATTTATTTTGCAGTAAGTTTGGAGCAAATAGCAGCATATGTGGACAGGGACGAGACCAGCTGCTCACAGTACATGAAATACGAATGCTTTAACTCAGTCCTCTACTCTGGTATGGGTATTCTATACGGTGCATGGTATGACCGCCACGGCCAAGTGGCGCCATTTTGGGCTGGTGGTGACCCCAACGGCACCATGGCGAACTGCGCATGCTCAAGAAATGATTCTTGCGCAGGCGTAGGTAAGTAGAGTGCTTCTTCAAGACGCATGTGTCACTTACTATCAAGTCAATATTTTCAGACATTTTGAGAATTATACAATGATTTTATGAAATGTTTAGAGGTAAGATGATATGTCGTAGTGGTGTTAACTGATCATGACGTCAAGTACATTGTACTGCATTGAGTTAAACTGGATTATCATAGGCTTTCGCTGCTAATTGAAAAATGATCGAGCATGGCACTCGGATTAAGATATATAGTAAAAGAAATGGATATTTGTGAGAAAGTACCACATTCTTCACGCGGTCCGAAGCTTGAAGAACGGAATTTT